GGACCGCAGATCGAGAGCGGAAACGAGATGCTGAAAAAATATTGCGGAAGCATCGCCAGAGATTCGAGGGAAAAGTCAAAGGTTGAGGCGGTACTATCAAATTTCTCCGAGGCTGTTAACGGGCGGCTGAAGCACCTAGACCAAGTCGTCAGGGACCTCTTGCAGATGGTATCCGATTCCCAATATCCCTATGCTCTCCAGGTATCACCAACCACCACGCTCACTGACAAATAAACCATTGAAGGAATTCGCTTGGGTCTCTGTAAACGAAGCCTTCCGGTCTACAAGTCTGGCAACGAGCATGAAACGACTCAATTGGATCACAGTACGCGCGGGCCTTTCCTATACCTTGATGCTGAGAGACAGGTGCTGAGCGGATCTAGTTTATCTTTCTTCCCGCAATATTTGCGTCAGTATGGGTTCCGAATCATTTCCTCCCCTGCGCACATATCTGCTTTTGCCTAACATCAGCTCGATGGCTATAGAGTCTGTTCGGTATGAATGTCAATCTACTTGCGAATAATCCCGATTGGAAGTGGTATCTGTTATTCGTCAGTATGTTGTTTGCCGTCACAATGATTGTCTGGCTTGTATTCAAATATTTCACAGTAAGTTGACGTATCCGATCCCGTCTGTCGAAGGCTGGCATAATAACTTAACTACAGATTGAGAAATTGATTGAGAAACATATCGGGAAACCAATCGAAGAATTCTTCAAATGGATAGAGAGTGGGAGAAAGGACACCGCAGCAGACACGCCAGTTTGAACATGGTTGTGAATAGACGACCCAAGTAACATCTTGCTCGTATCGTTCCGGAGGAAACACAGACGAAAAGAAATATTGGGGTTAATATACCGTATAGCTAGGCCAATAACTATTACCAAACGGAATGGGCGGCTATGTCGACAGATCAATCGGCGACATTGAAAGCCATTCCTTGGTACTCCTGATAGTAAGACTGTCTTTGCCATGTAAACAACGCGGTTGGCCTGCGCCCTTCAGTGAGCGTGTGATCCGAATCTCTCACCAGATATCCCTGACATGCTCGGATCTAATCGGGACGCGACAACCAAGGGGGTCGACGGACGTGCCTTAGCTAGCTTTTCGGCCCTGCGTTAGCGAAAGGAAGGCAGTGCGCTAGTGGTGCCCACAATAGGTGCATCCTGGCTTGGCAGTCGAATAAAGTTTGTCCTTGTCCTTGGGTGAGGGCATTTCGCACTGACAAGTCAGGGAAGCCACCCAGCGCGGAAATAAAGGAGCCACCAGCACGCGCCATTTCTAACATAAGCGCGCCTTGATAGGATTCTGACCAAGACTTCAGTTCTTAGCGCTCACTGCCTAGCCAAGACGACAGTCCGGCTCGGCTATCCATAGAGTGGCGCAGTCGGAACCGCCGGATACTGCCATCAGAGTCCAAACTAACCGAGGCGTCATTAGACCCTGAATAGAATTTCTGCAAGACTCTGGTAGCATGCCTTTCGGGCCAAGAACTTACAAATACACAACGGCTGAGGGAATTACAAATGCAGGACGGAGGGAGAAAGGATTTGCGGGGCATCAGCGTTGGTCTTGGGCAACAAACACTTCGCCTAATATCTGAGGCTTAGATGTTCTTCAGATTCCCAGTCTTGGCTCGGCTCCATGCCCGATTAGATCCTCGGCCATTACAGTTTAAACGCGTCTGACCCAGCTTAGAGTCCATGGAGTCGGAGCGACCAGTGCAGGGCTTGGTGGGGCTGGTTAGTTTAAGGCGCAAGATCTCACCCGAGATCCAGAAGCTTCGTAGATGCTTACGGTGATACTCGTTGCGTCTTCATCTCACCCAATCTCCACCTCTTCCACATCTTAGTGATACCACTGATGCACGTAAGATCACAAGAACCGCATCAACCAGCTACATTAATCACGCAAGTAGACTACCGTTTGAAGGAAGGTCGAGCTCCTCACCATCGACGGCACGAGGTATTCTCTTCGACCGTGACTTGATTAGCATCGAGGACTGGTGACAGTTGGGTAGTAGCAGAACCATATTTCCGCGTTCTTCCTAGTGTTATTTTTTGTCGTCACATTTCTATATTGTATATTTTATCAAAAAATTCCAAATCTCCTGGTTACAGAAACCCTGAGAGACGGGTGAGATCGGCGACGAAGTCTATTTTGGGTGCAGTTGTCAGTTCTTTGCGCCACCGCCGAGCTTGTTTTCGCGAGTGAACCAATCACCACTTCTGGCTCACTTTAGGCTCAAGGTAAGCAGTAAGAACGTTGTCTATTATAGTTCTTAGAGGCAGTGCCGTCTGTGTCCTGCTCATGTGGCATGCCGTGAGAGGGCCAAAATGAGAAAAACAACTTGTGCACTTAATACAGTAAGGCTCAGCTCCGCTGACGAGACAGTTTCCAGCAATGTTTTTATTCGTTAGAAATCCGCAGCTCATAACGAGTGAGATTCAACTGGCGAATAGGAGCGCCGAAGCGAGTTCTAGACGTCAGCATTAGTCTCTTTCCGGACCGCACGACCGGAGCGCTTGGGGGCCGAAGAAGCGTGGCGGAGCTCACAACCAATCCACGGAGTCGGTGCCGGAAGCGTGGTCATATTTGGTGGATGCGCTAATTCCGGAACTTGAAGCTTCCTAGAGCTAAGGTGAGTGAGACTGAGAATAGATTTCGGTTGTTCTCACGAACTCACCGCTGGCTGGCGCAGCGTTAGAGTGCTATGGCATCAGCTTCACGAAACGTCCTCCGAAGCATAGCAAAAGGCGAGGGCTGTGCGACAACGATGAAAGTATAAAATGAAGTTCATTTCTCGACATTTCAAACATGTCCATATTGCCTATTATCAAACAACATAACTACAAAAACACAACAACTATTTCCTAGCCTTGTCTCCTTTTTCCTAATTTCCTTTGTCCGTTTCTCATTTCCTAGTCTCGGATCTCTCTACTTTTCTCTTCTATAATTAAAGAAACCTTCATTTTGATAAACGCCACAAAAATGCAGTACTCAGCTTTCTTCCTCACTCTCCTCGCCGCCACCGGCGCCATGGCCTCCCGAAACTCTCGCTGGGGTGACAGGGCGGTCACCGTCATCCTCCGGGACAGCGCCGAGGAGACCGTCACCTTCCGCCGCGAGCCTCTCCATAACCCCGTCGCTGCCCGCCCCAACCGCCAGGGCCCCTTCCAGGTGGTCGAGCTTTCCGTCGGAGCCGATGTTACCAACCAAGCCCTGCGCTGCCAAATCCTCGACGAGAACTCTGACCCAATCGTCGTCCTCCGCGGACAGAACACTGACATTACCTTTTCCGACGCCGACGGTGGCCCGTGGACTCTCCGCAAGCCCTCTCTTGTCAGCAAGGTTGTCTGTGACCCCGACTTTGAGAAGATCGACCCCACCGACGAGCGCCTCCAAGTCAGCGTGCTCCTCCAGAGCCAGGCCACCGAGACCGGTATCAACTTTAGTCTCTCGGGTGTCGTTCAGAACGCCGTCAACGTCGTTGATCAGACTGCCTTCGAAACTGTTACCCTCGACGTCACCGGCGAGCTAGTCGATCCTGATCTCCGATGCCAGCTCATCGACGCTACCGGCCAGAACCCCATTGTTGTCAAGCGTGGCGAGAACGTTGACGTTACCTTTGGTGACGGTGACAAGGGCGAATGGACTCTTCAGCCAGCTCAGCCCGTCAAGCAGATTGTCTGCGACCCTAAGTTTAAGAAGGGATCCGTTTAAACACCTGTTCAGTCTGGCGCGCACCTAACTTAGACGTGGTTGGACAGACCGGAATGAGGGGCGTTGAGGAATCGCATCTGGGGGGGCATTAGCGTTTAGATTTTGTGACTGGGTTCTTATTATTCTCTGATTTCTCTGGTTGTTTTAGTCTCTTATCTCTTATAGTCATTCTGTCACAGTCCTTTCTGATAATTAGTTTAATTCTATTACATATCGCTATAAAACGTGTAAACTTCTGTCGTGATGCCGTAGGTATCTTCAAGGTCCGGGACTCATGGTGGATGCATAGGCCCACCAAGGGAGGTGCTGAGGTGGGATCCTCGACGTATAAGCTACCGAGCGGATCCGCAGAAAGAGGCTATCATATTGGGTGTATTGATAAGATTTTTCTTTTCTTAAAGGGAGTACTCCCACTCGAGAAATATCCCCGTCGGGATTACCGAGCGCTGATGAGCTTCGTAGAGAACTATCTTGATCTTTTCCGCCCCACCTCCTCACTGCAGTTGAGTGGCTCCATAGTAACGGATCGACCCGGCCCTTCCTCTAGCTTACTATGGCACTGCATGGACTCATTATGCTTCTCCCACAGTTCCGCAGGATCCCAAGCCCACCACAACGCACATCTCTACATCCCTCCTCCCTAAATATTGCTCCACATCTCTGGTTTGGACCCATATCAGTGCCCAGTGTATATGATCCAAAAGCATCCCAGTATAGAGGGAAGTCTAGGCTCGTAGACGTCGACTACGAATGCGAAGACTGTTGCCGATCCTGTCCACAATGAGAGGTCAACTTTGTCATTGGTCATAGCACGGACCCAGACAATGTACGGTGTCTGTGCCGCCACGTTGTAACACCTCAGGCTCCAAACGCTACCCTTTCTAGATGACAAGGGACTATAGGCTTTAGGGGGCGGGGCACCTGCGGGCTGTTTTCGCAATCCATACATCACTGATGATAGAATTGGTTTACTCTCAGGGCCGATATTCGGGCGAGAAGTTCGTTGTCTACTCACTAGCGCGTCCCTTCCGCGCTACCGCTGCGTATTCCGGAGCGTTTCCGATAGGAGTCACGACACCCATGGAGGCCTCGGCAGGCGGCCGGACTTAACACTACTCGTCGATCAAGGCTCAAACAGTAGCTCCTAGACGTAGCACACTTCACTTTCCGGGTCTCAACTATATCATCTTATATCCAGATTCCCATACCTGAGACAGCCACACGCTGAAAACACCCAGTGACAGCACCACTTAGCATCTAAAACCCAAACCTTCAGAGATGGCACTACATAGCAATCTCCCCGATTTTGACTCATTGCCAGAAGTCAAGGGCTTGCCAAAGGGCTGTGCCTGGGGCCTCTTCGATGAGAATGGCGAAAAAGACCTCCTCGGGTGTATCAACCTTCTTACAACGGATGTCGTGAAAGAAGCACTTAAAGAGGCTCGCGATGGCGTCTCAATCTCCCTCAACTGGGGGCTTGGCGCCCTCAAGACTCCGGCATTTAGTCGCCAAGGCCTCGAGCGTTCTGTTATCGACTTCCAAGAGACCCCCATAAATGCGCATGGATTCGACGATGCGATCAGCTTCAACACGCAGTCTGGTTCTCAGTGGGATAGCCTGGTTCACGTTGCCCATCAGCCGACCGCTCTGTTCTACAACGGCTGCAAGCCCTGCAAAGACGCTTTGCTCAACGGAGAGGACAAGCATTTGCCTACCCTCAACCACTGGCACGAGCGTGGCGGATTGGTAGCCCGCGGCGTTCTTCTCGACTATCGCGCCTACGCTGCCGCCAAGGGCATCGAATACGACTGCTTTTCAAACCACGGCATCTCCGTCCAAGATCTTGAGGCCATTGCTGAGTATCAGGGAACGAAGTTTAAGCAGGGCGACATTCTCATCGTTCGGACTGGTTTCACGGAAGACCTCAGTGCAGCTGATGTCGACGAACAGAAGCGATCGGTGGGCACGCACCAAGCAATCGGCGTGACGGGCAATCGGGAAACTGCAAAGTGGTTTTGGAATCAACACTTTGCGGCTGTGGCTGGCGATGCTGTTGCATTCGAAGTACTGCCGCCACTTATTGAAGAAGAGGGAAACAGACCTGGCACAGTCGCAGATTTGGGTAAGTGCTTCACTTGAACTTCAAGTCGACAATTACCCTGGGAAGCAGAGAAGTCACCGGCTGACACACTCAGTTCTCCATCAATATTTCCTGTCGCTCTTTGGCCTGCCTATAGGAGAGCTCTGGGACCTCAAGGCTCTTGGAGAGCATTGCAAGAAGGTCGGACGCTATGAATTCTTGTTGACCAGTTCGCCCCTCAATATTCCGGCTTCTGTCGCGAGTCCGCCGAATGCCTTGGCAATCTTCTAAAGCGGATCGCCGAGGCAGAGGCGACAAGGGCGGATGAACCGGAGGAACAAGGTTTTTAACAAGGGGACGCAAATTCGGGATTCGGGGTTTGTCCCATCAGACGATTTGGTTTCATATTCAAATCAACATCTTGACTAACGCCCCTTCCACTAGATATGAATAGATGTCGTTTACCAAGTTAAATTTCTTGTATTTTTAAGGTGATACCTATTGTGAATCTTAATTGAGCCATCACCCATAATTTAGTAGCCACGGTTGGTTCCACTCGTATCCGCACTCTCTTGTTGCCACCCGTCCCGGGACTTATCCCCTTCACTCCATATCAAATCTTCCTGCCCCTGAAACGTGCTTTACTCCTTGGACATGTCGTCAATCCACTCCAGCGCCACTTTAGGATCCAGGCGGTTCCTGAAATCGGGGTCCACGTACACATTCCGCACAATCCCCTTTCCATCTACCAGCAATGTCGCGGGCAGGGACATCTCGTACGAGTCATCGCCGTTGGACTTCTTCAAGTCGATCCCATGACCCTCCATATAGGACCGAAGCTCACTTTGACTGTGAACAATCCCCAACTTCCTTCCGAGCCCATTTCCTCTGTCTGTCAAGACATGGAACTTCAAGCCAAGCTTCTCCTGGGTAGTGAGGGTGTTATCGGGAAGCTCGGGTGTAATGGCTGCCAACTGCACACCGCGAGCTTCGAAATCGGCGAGGTGCTTCTGCAAGAAGGATACGGCGACGTTACAATAGGGGCACCAGCTTCCGCGGTAAAAAGTTAGGAGGACCGGGCCTTTGGATAGGAGCGACGCGCTTGAGACTTGGTTCCCGAGCGCGTCGGACAGAGTGAAATCGGGAAGTTGAGAGCCTGGTTGGACTGCGGTCTTGGGGTCAAAGGTAGTTTTAAGCGTCTCCAAGTATCCAGTGGCAATTTTCTTGACGGATTCCGGAGCCTCCGAAGCGAACTTCTCCGCGATGGCGCTGAGTTGGGTTTGCTGATCCATATTGGCGTAGAGTCTGGGAAGGACTTGTGGATATTTGAGAAAAGAAATGGATTAAAACGTGAGGTTCTTTAGTCGGTCTACGATCTGTCTGTGACGCTTTGTCCATTTCTCAGCAGTTGGAAAAGTTCAGTTTCGAGCTTTATATACAAGTTCGGTTGGACTAATTCGGATGTTCCTCCGACCTGGAGAATCTCACAATTCCGTGTTCTCCTTCGAGCTTCAGCATTGGTAGTATTGCCAAGGTCGTCATTTCGTCCGACTCGGCCGACGAGAGACTGTTGGACTAAGGCGTGGCTTGGGGGAGGGTTGATGGACAGAGAGATTCTTGGCAGATGGATGCAATGCTACACTAAGTCCCGACACGGTTAAGCGTAACATTTTGAAAGGGAAGAGGTATTAATAAGGGGCGATTTTGTCCGAACTGGTCCGGCCATTTAAACCTTGTCTCAGATTTACGTTCGCCCGAGCTTGTCCTGCACCATTCGCAGCAAGGACACACATTCTCAAAAACACCGAGTTCGAGCGAATTCGCCCTCCAAGAGAATCGGATCTACTCCCTTTTGAAAATATGCATCCATCCATACGGTCATCTGAATCCCCAGTGACAGAAGCCCGAGCGCCGAAAAGAATGCGTCTTGGGACGAAGAGCTGCCGGGAGTGCCGGAGACGCAAAGTCCGATGCAATTTCACGGATCAAAGCCTCTCGTGCGATGGCTGCCTGCTGCACAAAGTAGCCTGTAGACCACAGGGCCTTGGAGATGGCATAATTGAGTTGCCGCAGCCCATCAATTCCAATGAGGATCTACGCGACAGGTTGGACCGCATAGAAAGCCTCCTTTCCGAGCTCTGTGACCGGGTAGGTCCGGACATATTAAATAATACTTCGGAGGGCCCTCCTGAGATTATCTCGCAACGCATCCTGCAAACCAGCAATACATCCTTATTAGAAAAGCCTGGCGGCGCCGATTCTGCCACTTCCCCTTGGGAGGCGGAAGCCACAGTTCTTGGAACAGGATCCGATATATCGTCGCGAAGCAAAGCGACATCATTGCCAACCGACGTCGACTTTCCACTGCTGAGGCTCCTGAAGGCCTCTCTGGTGCTTGACCACATAGACAGTTCCGAAATTTCACTGCATGGAATTACGAAGGCTGGCGCTCCACTACCGTCGCTCAGAAGGCTCCTTCGTCCAACTTTTCCCCGGGGCGCCTGCCTCACCCAAATCCTCTCAGAAACCCAGCGTTACTGGGCCTTGTGGCCTATTAGTCCCAATGGCCCCCTGACCTACCAAAGCGGGGAGATTATCGGGCTCGTCGAGGCAAAAGACTATCTCACAGACTCACTGAACTCGGAAAGCGCCCCTGTCCTCGCAAAAGCGGTCTTGTGGCTTGCACTCTGCGTCCAACAACTTCCGAAGGTTTTTCGAGTGGAGTCGATCTCCGGCCAAAGAATTCCACCGACAGATGTCGTGAACCATTATGTCGAAATATCAGAGAGACTTCTCCACGTGATGACGGAATCACAAACCGATGACATCGTCGGTGTGGAGGCTTTGGTACTTCTTTCCAAGCTGTATCTCAATATGGGGCGGCCTCGAGCCTCGTGGTTACGCAATCGACAAGCTCTCGACCGTGCCATATTCTTGGGTCTTCATACTCCAGGCAAAGAAGGTCAGAAAAAGAAGCTATGGGCGATATTATGGCAAAACGACAGGTTCATGTCAGTTATCTTAGGCTTTCCCTACTCGGTCCCTCGCGGCCATCCGAGCACGTCAGAAGAATTACAGGGTGACTCGCTGGAAGCTAAGATAATAGGCAAGATATCGGCAGTGGCGGCCTCTATTAGCGATGAGCAGCAAAGCATTCTCAAGAGCTACGCGACAGTTTTGAGGCTGGACGAGGAACTCCAAGAATGCAGGAGGTTGATTCCCACGGACTGGTGGGGGATGGACCAGCAAGGCGTTCTAGGACTTGGCCAGTTCTTCGGACGCCAGGCTCTGAAGCTCGCTGTCCATTACATGTCCCAGTTTTTACACCTGCCGTACATGTTAATGGCATCTGACCAGACTCGATACGAGCATAGCCGGCTGTCAGCGCTCGAAGCAGCGCGTGGGATTTCAAAATGTTACCGGGGAATCAGGAGAAGCGACGGCGGAAATTTGATTATCTGTGATGTTATGGACTTCAAAGCGTTCAGCGCGGGCATGGTCATGGCTATCGACCTTCTCAACCAGGCTCGCCAACGGCGGGAGAGGCCGGCCGACGATGATAGCTGGAGCCGAGATTGGGTTTGTGTCAAGTCTCTCGTGGCAGATCTCGTGGAGACCGCTGAGGCCTTGGACTGTTCTGTCGCGAGCCAAGGAGCTCAAACACTGCAGTTCCTTTACGACGTGTGCCACGGGACTTACAACGGACCAGAGTCTTATGTGGCATCTATCCCGTACCTAGGGAGAGTGCGCATCCGACGGCCTTCAGTTCCGATCCCAGGATCTCGACAGGAGTTGCAGAGCGACCTCGCATTACCACAGCAACCCCTGGGTGAAGTTGAGATTACCTCCAATTTCTTCGACCTGTATCTCCCCCACACATCCCAAGTAGGCGACGAGTTGGCTGCGAATTGGGCTTCTCCACCCGAATTGGATGAAAGCTTTGACTGGACGGGTTATTTTAGCTTTCCGTAGGTTAGCACGCGAAAATGACTTGAATAGTCCCATAGATGAACAAGTATCAATCGATTCCAACTAGCATTTCCACGTAACTAGGGCCCAGAAGGATGTGCCAAGATATTGGCGAATCAAAGGATCTACGCCGCTCTCCAATTTCCCAAAATGAGTCCTACGTATAGCTAGCTGCATGTACTGACCAGTGGAGTTGGGGATCGGGCATTCACAATACTGTCTTCCGCGGCTGTTGCCATGTTTGCCCGCAATGCACCATCGGAGCCGAAGTGAGGGGCTGGAAATGCTGGTGGGGGTGTGCGGAGTAGGCCTTGAAAACACTTGCCGATGGCCTGACCCGCAAGCACGCTATTATTCGCAAGATGGTCTCCGACTCTAGGCCCAGATCAGTTTGGGGATGAAGAGAAAGCCCCCGCACTTGGGGGTTCAGCGACAACATCAACCTCGGGACAAAGCCATGATCCTAGAGGACCCCGCATTGTGCCTGGAGTATCTAGGGTTCGATTCGATTCTCCCCTTCTCTCGTTCCCATTACCAATCGGGTCGGGCTTGCATTGATCACCGAGATTCGTTCAGCTCCCAAGCTAGCTTAGTGTGGGGTTTCCGCTAGTTCACTGGAATGGGGTCATGCGTTGGTACAGTGGGTGTAACTCTCTCAGAATGAAGTTAACAGTGGGGTTCGGATCCATTGATCGGTCTCGCTTGGGTCCCTTAGCTCAGGGCACACGGGGAATACCTCATCGTCGTCAATTTCCAGAGTTCTTGTCAATTTCGGAGAGCCATCTCCGTAAAGGATGCGGGGGAGGGTTGGGGTACGTAGGAGAGGGCTAGAACAGGGAAGTCTTTAAAGCATCGCGAATGTCCCTCTTCACCTCGCCCTTTCTTGTACTTAGGATTGTACACCCTTTACCGAACCGCGGAGTCTTTTGAGCCTCGGAAATCGCGAAATATACCCCTTCCGTTTTTTTGACATCTTGATACCCTTTCCTATTTACCATGTCTGACCTCGATAAGCTTCTGGAGGAACGCGCCGCTCGCGGGTCCAACGCCATCCACGGCTTCGTTGCTGCTGCGGTGGACAAGAATGGTTAGTAAGGAATAATGTGATGATGTGATTTGGCCAGAGGTCACAAGCTCAAGCCATGATATATCAAGCTGACTAGTAAACTAAAGGCAAGGAACTGTTCTTCAAGACGGCGGGCTACAACGGGGTTGGACCCGATGCTCCGGCCGTCAAGGCCGATGCAACGTACTGGATCGCTTCCTGCTCGAAGCTCCTCGGCACGATTGCCGCTCTCCAGTGCGTTGAGAGAGGCCAAATCACTCTCGATGAGCCGGTGGAAAGGATCCTGCCAGAGATTGCCGACCTCGGCGTTCTCGTTCCGCCCAAGGATGGCGCCGCGTTCGACCCATCCTTCGCCACCACACCCGCGACGAAGAAAATTACTCTTCGAAACCTCTTGTGCCACAATTCTGGTCTTGCCTACGATCTCTTCCATCCTACCATCGCGGCGTGGCGCGAGTCCCGAGGAGAAACCCCACAAGGGCTAACTGGTTTCGCTACCAAGCCCCACACGGTTCCTCTCTTGTATGAACCCGGTGACGGATGGACGTATAGCGGAGGAATCGACGTAAGTAAACTGATTCTCCGATCGACATCTCCAATTTTCCTTCTTCATTCTCTCGGTTGTCGAGGCCATCCTCCACTAACAATTCTTGGATAGTGGGCCGGCTTGGCAGTCGCCAGACTGAATAAAACTACGCTTGAAGAATACCTTCAGGAAAATATCTTCAAGCCCTTGGGTATTACTTCGACTACTTTCCGTCTGGAGAAGCGCCCTGACATCAAGGAGCGGCTCCTCAAGACTGTAGAGAGGCAGGCCGATGGCACGCTCAAGGAGATCCCCAAGCCCTGGCCAGATTATGCCGAGGAAGACTGCTGCGGCGCTGGCATCTACTCGACTGTGGGTGATTATCTCAAGGTCCTCGGCGACCTAGTCAAGGATCAGCCGACATTGCTGTCGAAGGATATCGTGGAAAAGGAGATGTTTAGGCCGCAGTTGGCGGCTGGCTCCAACGCCATGAAGGGCATCGAAGCCGCCGCACCCATGATGGCGACCATGACGGGAACGACCGAGACAACGGGTCTCAACTGGGGTATCGGAGGCATTTACACCGAGGAGGATGTTGGCGCGTACCCGAAGGCCAGTCTCGGCTGGGGCGGCCTGCCCAACCTCGTATGGGTGGCCAACCGGGAGCGAGGTGTCGCCGCATTCTTTGCTACACAGGTGCTGCCCCTGGGAGACAGCCAAGCAGGCGAGCTTGCAGTGAAGGTTTTGGGTGAAGCCTTTCGCCTGGCGTCGTCGTAACCTAGACGCAATTGATATAAAGCAATGAATATGAAGATCATGATGAAATAATGACCAGTTTGATTGCCCTCAATTGTCTTGCAGGACGGGAGTTTTCAGTTTCTCTCGTATTCCCAATCGGAACAAGGCCGAGTTAACACTGGCATCGGGCCTCAAAAATATTGGGAGGTGTCCGTTGCTGACGTGGAATTACTGATTTGGGTCCGTTCGACTTGATCGGCACAGAACCCACCGAAAATGAGAATAATTGAGAAATGATAGGTCGTTCAAAGAACGTGAGGAACCCCCTGGAGCCAGCCGTGACGACGACTCTGCGGCTGTGTCTGTGGCTGTGCCTTTTCCCACAATGCAGCAGCTTGAATTGACTGGCTCTTGTTCTTCAGCGTGAGATTCGTGGCGTCCAACACGGAATTTGGCACCGAAGATGCGAAACACTGAGCAAGGCGATGCATCACCGCCCTGTTTTTTTTTAATCTGTTGGCTCACGTGGTCGTCGTTGCCCGACCGATGGCCGGTGAATAAATCTCAGGGAATCCCATCGAGTTCTTCCCCCCGTCGCCTCTGCAATTGTGCTTCCTTTCGAGAACACAGATCTCCAAGTCTTGGTTCTTAATTCAAGTCGCAAATGGTGATCAGCAACGGGACAACCGACGATCCTTCGCAGGGTTTGGATCACCAGTCCAATGGGGCTGGCAACGGCGCAATTACCGGAGAGGTCAAGGGGCTCGGGGCCGAGACGCTTCGTATAGTACAAACTCGAATAGGCGAAAAGAAGAAATATACGATCCGAACGCATCTGGAGGGTGTTGACGGGTACAAATATCTCCCCGGCCAGCCACGGATCGCGCTCTCCGCGCCACCCGGTGCCGGTGATGAACTGGTCGAATACCTGCGCAAAGCACACCTTACAACCGAGCTTGACCGTTTACTGCCATTCATGAAATACATTTTCGTAAGCTCTCCTGTCGTGCAATCGTTGTCGATATCTCTAACTGCGTGGTTCATTTCTCACATCCGAACCCCAGGTTCAAACACCGTCTTTCAGACACATCATGCCACTGCACCACCAAGTAGCCCATGCTCGGGAGATTATTGTCGATGAGTACCCAGGCCTTCACCTTGTTTGGTACTACGGCCGAATCTTCATCAAGCCTATTCCCACGTACTTTTACTCTCCCGCGTTCTGGGATTACCTACGTAGCCTCCGCAATCAAGACGAAACGAACGACGAAAAGGAGGACATCTACGACGCCGCGATTGGGTTCATGCGCAGCTACTACTTTCTAATCCAATATGAGATCGACTTCACCAAAGCCTGCGAGCTCAAACTCATCCCGAAGCTTCCCGGTGAGGACAAGCATCCAACATATTACGAGTTTTGTCGATTCATGGATTACTTTAAGAAAGTGAAAGACGAAGAAACTTGCCGTCGATACCACTACGGCGAACTACGACTAACGCGAATCAATCGTACCTCCCTCTTCATAACCGGGAAACTGGCCTATTTCCACATCTACCCACAATGGGGATCCTACCTCCGCCATTTCCTTGCGCCCATCATCGTGGCGCTCGGTGGATTCTCCGTCGTATTAAACGCGATGCAAGTCACACTCAACGCACAGGAGATGCTCGGGAATCCGAGCGATGGCTCTCCCGGCTTGAGCCCAACCTGGACATACTTTACGAGGACGTCCTTGTATTTCCCCGTAGTGATAATTTCTTGGATTGCTGCGATAGTTGTTCTTGGCTTGTTGGGCGTTTTGGTTATGGCTTTCAAGGACATTGTGTGGGCGAGGACGACACGGAGGAGAAAGAAAAACGGTGACCGGAATGCGGGAGATCGGAGTCACGGAATGATATGGTGAGGGGTGGTAATATGGACCTGCTTGTTCCCCCATCTCTTCTCTCTTCAAGCAGCAGTATTCTCGGAAGAGTGGTGAGAGAATTGGTCTCCTTCGTTACTCTTGCGCCGCCCTCATGAATGAATAGAAGTCCGAATTCGAGCCCGAGAGAAAATATCAGCCCGTCTTCGGCAATTATAATCGTAGGAAGATCGCAGGGCCGAAAAGCGGGACCTCGACGAATGGGAGAGGTTCTACAACCTATCTGCTAGAGAACAAAATGGCTATTCCCCTGTCACTGTGCTGCATGGTTTAGCACTATCATGCTCCTGTTACTTGTCGAGCTGAACATGCAGCCTAGTTTACTGGTAAGTATTCGACTACCGCTTAGCCGACTAAGAAGCCGGCCTCACCAGCCTCTTGCTGTGCCTCTGAGTAGTAGCTTCAGTGTTCAGCTGTAGTAAAGGGATGGCTCTCTCCCTCGCTATCCCAACTTAATGGCAAAGATGTCTTCAGCACCCGACTGGTTAAGCGTTGAGCCGAAGAACCTAATCATCACTACTTTCAGAACTGGGCGTTTCCCTCCTTAGATAAGATGCAGCTGACCTAATTGGTGATAAAACGTGGGAAAATTCAGTGCGGCGTAAGATGAGAGCGAGGGATGCAGAGTTGCAGGCCAACACTTCCCCCTCAAAGTCTCCCAAAATTGTTAAGGATTAAGAGGTGATCTAGCAAATACACTATCAGAGCTCACATTAGCCCGTCGAAGGGCGTTGCTGACACAGTGACACCGCAACCCCCTCCTCAAATTTTCTAATTCTACTCCTGAGCATGCCAACAACTCTTCCATCTTCAACATCAAACTCAGGAAAATAAGCCGACTAAAAAATTATTCCCCGTATCCTCTCGACTGTGATGGCAACTGACGCCACTCCAACTCGTCGACCCTACACAGGATCCTGCCATTGCGGTGCTACAAAATACATCGTCTTCCTCACACTCCCCGCGCCAGAGCCAGTCGCCCGCGATCGGTCCAAACCACCCTCGCAGAGATTCTACCGATGCAATTGTACAATCTGCCATAAGGCGGGTATAATGCACATTCGGCTTCCCTCGGCGCCGGACGATTTCGTTTTACTCTCGCCTCTCGATCCGCTAGAGTCTCTCGGAGACTACCAGTGCGCAGCCAAGAGACTCCATTTCTTCTTCTGCAAGACATGCGGAGTGCGGTGCTTCAGCTTCGCTGGTGAGGGGGAATTGGGCGAGGTGGACTTGGCTGAACTGGGAGTCGAGACGGAAAGACCCGGAGAGCCGACCAAGCTCTGGCGGGCCAAGAAAGACGGTTGGGGTGAGAACACGAGAGTCTCTTATCTTAGTGTGAACGGACACACGATTGATGCTGGGCAGGGATTTGAGCTTAGAGATTTGACGGAACTGAAGCGAGTCGAGTACCTGAACGCTCTGGCGCCAGAAGATGAGAGCACGGATGACGTTCGGTATGACAGACCGCATTCCGGTGGCAGCTACTGAATTAAGTAAATGTATTGATTTATTTTCTATTAGTCTACCGTTTCCTCATTTGACATCCGCTCCTCAATGGCCGCCTGACTGATACAAATCTTTGAATCGTGAGTTCCTTGACAGCAACTTTGCCGGCGTATCAAACTCGGCCAATGTTCCATTATCTAACAAGGCGATTTTATCGTACTTCGTAATATGCGCCAAACGATGCATGATAGAAAGAACAGTATGATGAGCAAAATCCGTTTCTATCACCTCGTGCATGATAGACTCCGTCTCAGTATCGACGCTGACGAAAAAGGGGCCACGGTTAGCGTAAGGAAGAATAAGTTCGACGATAAGTTGACAACTAACCTGCTCGTTGCTTCGTCTAGAATCAAAATACGACTACCCCGAACCATTGCTCTCGCGAGACAAAGAAGCTGCCTCTGTCCGATGGACCACGAATTGGCCTCCATAGCCTTGTCAAGTCCTCCCTGGTCTTTGACAAGGTCCCATAACCGCAGCCTCTTGAGTGCTTCGATGATTTCATCGTCCGAACTCGCTTCGTAAGGGTCAATGTTGAATCGTATCGTCCCTGGCATGAGGAAGGGGTCTTGTGTGATGACATTCAACCGAGATCGCAGGTCTTCTTTGTCAAGTTGGGAAATATCAACGTCGTCGATGGTAATACATCCTTCCTGGAGCTGGATGAGCTGCAACAGAGCTAAGACAAGGGATGTTTTGCCACTTCCTGATCGGCCGCATACGGCAACCTTCTCTCCTGGCTGAAGATGTAGAGAAACCCCCTTTAATACTGGGGGTGACTCTGGTCTGTTGATTGCTAAGAGTTAGTTACGCACGATGAAAGGTTTGGGAGCGAGGGGGAAGTGCAAGCTTACGAATAGCTCGCCACAATTCTGGAAAATTTGATGTCTCCAGCAGAGGGCCACGTTGACGGAGGCGTGGTGACCTTCGTCGTTCCCCTTTCAGAAGGAGTCGAATAGGTAAAATCCTTAACTCGCGCCACGGCTCCGATTGAGGTTTCCAACATTGTCCAGAATTTGACCAACTGCGTTAACTCAACGTTGAAAGTCATGACCAAGACCAACGCAACACCAACTTGTCCTGGCTGGAAGGAGTCGCGCCACGCCACTACCGTCGTGACCAAGAGAACTGCGAGAATGGCGACGATTATATCGAGGACAAAAGCAAGGCATTGCTGAATACAGAAGAGGAGATATACTGGTCGCTGTGAAACGTCAAGCAGATCTATGCAGGTGGCTTCGAAGGCAGCGTGCCATCTAAAGGCACGTATCCCCGTTGCGCCACCAACAGTGTCGAGGAAGTGGGAATAAAGCGGTGCCTTAGCTTCAATGTCCAGAAGACGCATCTGCCGCGACGTGCGTAGGTAAAACTTTTGCGTAAAGTATACGACGACTGCCAGGAATGGTACAGCGAGCGTGAGGTAACGAGCATAAACGGATAGGACAACCACCTTGATGATGCAAAACGAGGCAGCTTTCAAATGGGTTAGTAAAGATTGCAAAGATGAATGGACATTGTATGGACCTACCTGACACATAATTAACTGCGTACATTGGGAGCTTCATGTCGATCAGGTCCATGTCTTGACTGAATCTATATTTCGAGCCATGGCAAGTCACCAATCAGCCCAAGCCGACGAGGTATTGCAAATCTAATGGCTTAAGCTTTTTCGACGTACCTATTTGTTAGGTTGCCAATATCAACCTTGGTGAAGAATTGGATCGGCGCCCTGGAATACTGTAATTAGAAACCGGAAAGGACTCAATAATCAGATCAAGCCAGACATACGAGACTGTCGATTGCAGCAGGTCCTTGTGGAGGCCCAAGGCACTGTTGTTGATAACGGGGATAACGAGGGACCTAGCCAACATGTTAGTTAAACCCATCAAAGCCAAGAAAGGATGCTGAATGTCACTCACCAGGCTCCAATGATCATTGCGATGACAGCAGCCACGCCAAACGCGGCATACACGCCTAGATACATTCCGACATTTTTGTTGGGTTCTTCTCTATTTGCCTTGGACCACTGGTCAAGCCATACCGCTTCTATAGTGTTAGTACAGGATTTCCTTAACATAATCCGGGGTTTTCCTACGTTGAAGCTCAAATAGGGTGGCGCAGATGAATACGAAGACAACGAATACTGTTGCGGGCAGGACGCCAGCGGCCTTGATGTAGTAGCGATAGACCGAGAAGTCGCCGCGCTGGCGTCGAGCGTCGGCTTCAGCGTCAGTTGCCTCTGTAATTCCGGCATCGGGGGTTGAATCTTGGCCTTCACTTGTCGGCTCCTTTGGAGTGCTGGAGCCCGTCTGCGGGTTCCTCCAAATGCTAGCCGTGTATCCGTCCCTAGCTCTGAGTTCCTCGATCCTACCAGCTTCAATGACCTCCCCGTCTTTGAATGCAATGACGGAGTCGGCGTACTGAAGCAAATAAGCTGTTGACCGTCAGCAATTTCTAGAAGATTTGGTTCTGTCCGGATGCCAGATTCCTTACGGCTGTGGGTTGTCGCGACGACACTTGTGGGGTGTGTTTTGAAAAGGCCCTGTGGTCCAAAGAGGGACTTTGAGATGTGCTCGACTGTGGTCGCGTCCATGCCACTGAAGACGTCGTCCAAGACGGCGACTCGGTGCCTCGAATACACAACGCGTGCCAGTGCCTAACAAATTCGAAGAGGTTTAGCATGACCTTGGAAAAGAGGGAAACTATTGAGGGAACTTCTTACGATTCGTTGCTTTTGCCCTCCACTCAAAGAGAGTCCGTTACTTCCCACGACGGTAGAATCGCCGAGCGGCAGCTGATTTAGGTCCTGTTCCAGCCCGCATGCATACACGACCGTCGCATACCAATCCTCGTCGAATTCAAAAGCACCAACGATGTTTTGCCGGACGGTTTGATTCCTCAACCATGGCGTCTGGGGACAGTATCCTGCTGCTGAGAAGTATTTGGTCATCTTTCCCTCGAAGACCACCGTTTCTCCGAGGATGCTCTCTAAGAACGTTGACTTGCCGCTTCCGATGGGCCCAATGATCATGGTGACTTCGTTGGCGCGTACGTTCAGATCCAACCGCTTGAGAACGGGTGGAGCTGTCTGGTCCCAACCTACAGTCTGGTTGTGGAAGGAAGTCAGGAGGAGATTCTCCTCAGGCTCACGATTCTCACCCTTAACCATGTTTTCAGTCACCTTCTCCGAATTTTTCAAACTCGTATCACCGTCGAAAGAGTCCGTCTTGGGCTTTCCAACGGCCTCCTCGTATGATGGGCGATTGCAATATTCTTGGAGTCGGTCGAAACACCCAATACACTGCACGACCTGAGGAACCGCCTGAATAAAGATCAAAGCGGGATTCGAGAGGAGAGAGATGAGTGTCAAGGATGTGAAGGCCTGGGCTGCGAGGATGGAATTATCATGCCGGGAGAGCGCCACGGCAACATAAACCGCAAAGGTTCCGACGGTGACCAAGCACTGGGGTGAATTTGCTGCAATCAGTTAGCGACATGTTCCCCTGGAGCATTTTCCGCTCAATCTGTTGGGTACGGGTGGACGTACAGAGGAACAACTGCCAGAGAAGAAGCTTTCGGAATTTGGTGGACGTAGCGAGTTCAAGTTCCCTTAGTTTCTGAATCATGCTGTACATACGATCGGACAGGCCAAGCATCTTGACGGCCTTCATGTCTCCCAGCATATATGACGTCAGTTTGAGCCGTTCCTCGACCCTCTCGACCCATTGTCGTTGGGCCTTCTTGGCAAAGGGGGAGAGGTAGAAGGTGGAGGCAATAAACACTGAGGAAAACATGGAGTTAGCCTTCACAACCAGAATCTACCGACTGGATCTTTCTGGGAGAGTTACCTCCTAAAATGACGGCGGGCACAATGCAAGCAATGAAGACTTGCCTCTCGAGCAAATATACAGCGATACAGATGTCAATAGGTGCAGCCCAGAGCTCGTGGATAAATCGGAATCCGTAGACAATTCTCTCCACGTCAGTTCCCATCAAGGTGATTGCTGTGATTTTGCCTAGATCAACGCCTCGAGAATGAACGGTTTGCCGGAAAGTAAGCGCAATAAGGCCGCCTCGAAGTCGGGTGATGAATCGATACGTGCGGTACCAGTAAATAGCCGTGGACGCCTAGCCAGTATTTGAACAGATAAGTCAAGCGGAAATAGCTAGTGGGAGAAAGTATGCATACGTACCGCGGTGCCGAGGTATACGAGGGCAAAAGCTCCAATTAGGCCTTTTCCAGACGCAGTCGTGGAAGTCTTATCTTCAACCCACTTTATGGTGGCAGTGACTAGGAAAGGGTTTGCAAACATGAAGCCGGAAAGGAAAAGCCTTGGGATAACAGCTGAGAGAAACGACCATTTGTATCCTTTGAAACAGGCATACAGGAGCATGTTTTTCTTGAACTTGTTGGCTGGAAGAGAAAAGAATTAGCAAATGGCTCAGAGACGTGAATGGGGACATTAAGCTTACATTTAGCCCATGAATTGGCGAGTTCTTGGTGAACAACATCGCTCGCAAGGCCGGGGTCTAGCTCGGGAAGATCCTGAACAGATATGACCTTGGAGTAACCGTCGAGAAAAGTACGCCGTAGCCATAGGTAGCCGACCAATTTCCAAAACCCACTGTAAGCTTCTGGAGTTCGCGGCTTGTTGGCACTTTTGGTCAACAGACGTTCCTTGCCGCTCGACTCTATAGCAAAGGACATGATTGTAAAGGCCAACACGAATACAAACGTGATAGACTCGGAGCGGGCTCCGGGAACTAGCCACAACGTCCTCGACCGGGCAATGCCAACGAGGCTCATAGCGGGCAAATAGAGCGAAAGCAACGTTGAAGGACGAATGGACCTATGGTGGTGCATGTAAGACAAGACTATAGCCGCAGCGGCCGACAATAGCTGCAGAATGTCGGCCGCGAGGGACATGCCCGTGGATAGGTCTGAATTCTGCACTCGAAGTGCGAGGAATGCGGTTTGACTCGCGAATAATCCGATCAATGCCACCTACGGCCTTGTAAGCACATGCTCCGTACTTTCGTTTCCCCCTCTTCATCTTCATTCCCTTCGCTCAGCAGCACATGGACCTACCATCTTGAGAGCTAGACCCTTGGATGCTTTGACAACGTGAGGTTGCTTCCAAAGTCTAACGCAAGACGCCAAGACGCCAGCCAGGAAAATCGCCGCCGGAACAACTGCGAAGAAGACATCCTCGAAGTAAATGGTGAAGTCAAAAGATCGACAGTTCGGATTAACTCGAGGCCCAAAGAGTCCATCGCTATTATTCGGACAAGCCTCCATTGTTACCTTTCAATCTCGGGAGGCTAGGCGCACGGTAACAATCCACGCTTCGCAGGGCAAGTGGAATTGACAATGGTGGATGTTCGATGAAGTTATAGACGCTTTAGAGACCCACAAACCCCAGACCCGAGAATACGATTGAATACGATAGCGCGCAATTTTGCTGGTTCCGCATCCCACCTTCCGGAAACAGTGTGCCAATCAGAGATGGGTTAATCTGGATGCCTAAGTTGAGGTTAGTCGAGAACTTTTGTGAAAGCGCTGTTGGGCGTCCTCAGCCAATCGTGGTGCGTTCGTTCAATTCGTTACGCAAACGATGCAGATAACCCGGAATACTGGGTTGAGTGGCTCCCAGGCAGTCGTTGTATTCGTCTACGCTCGTCGTCATCACACTCGAGGTCGATAGAGATATCAAAGAATTCAAACAAGTCTGTTCCGGGTCACGCATTTCCTACGGGAGTTGTGAACATGGAGAAGGGGACATCTAGCGAGCGGTCAATCGAACTGGCCTGCGCGGTCGGAGATTCCCGACAACCGGGAGTGATAATTATCGCTGGTAAGATATATCGGGGATGTCGTCCGAGGTTTCAGTGATACACCGATTCCATGATTGGCATATATTCCTTCGAGACAATTTGTTCTTCTCGGGCAACCAAACAAAGCACATAAGCAATGCCTCAAAGTCATTCCGACTCATGACGATCACAACACCTCCGGTTCTTTTTATACCTTCGCGTACTCGACCTGTTACTGCCGATAGAACTTTAATTATTATTCACTGTCGAGCTCCCATTGAACAGGGATGACTCAATAGTCCAGTTCGACGCGAGATAACAGCTTGGCAAGGGAGGAGGGGGGAGATGCAGCCGTACTTCCTGATATAGAGAACCTATTCCTTTTCTATCAAATCTCGTAGAGACTTGTCGGATCTGATATTATATTGTAGTCCTAGCCTCGTTATGCTAAACTGTTATACAAGCTTGTCATTGCGTACTCCTCATCGGAAGTAAACTTGGTTGCACTGGTCTGGGGCACAATCCCTGTTGGAGTTAGGCACCACATACATAATGGCACCACTATGTCCGTGAAGTATTTCATGTGTAATCTGCCTCGGCAAAAGTGTAACAACAGCGTCCTACCTGGACACACCTAGTATGGTCCGTTCATCGTCATGATACTTGTTGCGCTCCTGCCGCATCCCCAACTGTCCAAGAGCAGGTTGCTTGCGCCTCTGTAATCTTGGACGACGAACATACCATATCAGCACTCCTTAATAATTGAAAAAAAGCCACCCCCAACGACCAGACCGAACAGTTATGCCAACGGACGGCTTAATGAGGCCGCAGCTCATCCGTTGTCCATCGATAAGGGCTCGGATACGCAGGCGTCCATCCTTGATTCCCTCTCCATCTTCAAACGTAGGATCCCAAGTCCGGCTTTAACGTCGACTTACTTCGCCGACTCGGTGGTTCCCCCGACAAACACAACTAATACTGCTGCGTACGCAGCCGTCGCAGCTAGCAGCTCAATAGGCAGCTTCGTCGGAGAAAAGTACGCCGTCGCGATAGCGAAAACCATGGTGCAGACGACGACAGTTACCAAGCTCATCGCGGTACTTGGCACTAACACCATGAGGATCATCGGTACATTGAGAATAAGGACGCCGAGGATTGCCAAGGCATATCGCTGTGTCCTGGTTTTTGAAGCGGATGGATAGTCCCACGGGGCTCCTGGAAGAACGGGGTGCAACTCGCCCTCATACCAAGGAACCGCCCTCTCAGGCTGGACGCCGCTTGCCTTGAGATAGTTGAGCAGGTCGCGCTCCATGGGCCGTTCCGACTTGAGATGGAAAGGGCAGGTATCCCAATCGCGATATGCTAGATCTCGCATAAATTCACGCTCTCTGACCGCTGTGCCTGTGGTTCGATGTCAGGACTTTTGTCTCGGGAAAATTGAGGCTCAAGAAAACGAACAATATTCCTGAATAAGTGACGATAAAGCCTTGGAATTTTCATCGTCCATTTCTCCTTTTTTGAGAACGGTGGCAGTCTCGTCGATGATGCGTTTCCGTATGTAGTGCATGTTCATCCGATGGATAGCTGTCATATTCAATCTCTCGCCTTTGTCGTTCACGTAGAATATGTGCCTCCGCCCCGCCTCGACCGTCCCCAGTGCGATTGGATTCGTCGTTTCAACATTTTCCTCTTCCATGACCCCTTTGAAGTGTAAGAAGCGGGGGCTGTCTTTTTCGTCCGCGTCGTCGATAGAACGACAAGAGATAATTATGAATCGTTCAGATTTGTGTGCGCCCATGCGGAGTTAGGGGAGGGAAACATAGAGAATAAATCTACCCAACCGTTTCTACATAAGCGCCACGGATGGACCCACCTAAGAGGGAGCCGGCGATCACTCGCCGCACTTGCTGCAAATCGAAAAACGAGGCGCAGGCCCCCCATGCTTGGTCGAATAATGCTTCGCCGCGCTCCCTGAACCAATATAAATCTCAAGTTTGCTTATTCATAATCCTCAAGGATCGAAATCTCGCCTCGCCAGATGCATGATTGGACTAAGGCCCTGCGGAATAATGCTTCTACAGGGCTTAACAGTTGCGATTAAGCAGTTGTTGGCATGCGTGGATCCTGCCATGCGAGTCGGCATCTTCAACGAAGTAAGATCATAGGATTTGCTTGTCTTACCTACCAAAAATAGAGAGAAGGAAATAAAAATAAAAGTGAAAACGATAGCGAGCTTATAATGCAACCCCTCAGACCAGCAGGTGCATTTTTCAGTCCATACAATACTGGAGATATATAGAGGCCCGCTATCGAGCAACTAAGCTATTATGAAGACCGAGCTATCAGCAAGAACCTGGCATCCTAAAATTCCGAGCCATTTACCCCTTGATTAGGACGAAAGAGGCAATGCAGCGCGGTCGAGGCGCTTGCCTACACAATGAGTTAGCCCAATCGTCGAAACCCCTGAATCCGCCAGAGTTCAGTAGGAATTCAATCAAACATGAATAGCGCTTCCTAGCAAAAACAAAGTAGTTTACCAGTCCAACAGTAAGTGACCCTAAGCTAACTACAACAGCATGATCTGTACCATTGTGTTAGCCCCTTGTAGTGACACATTCCTTTTAGGCGAGGCATACTCATAGTCTCATCATTAACAGTTGTCGAAGAGGGAAACAAGAAGAATGTGGATGTGATCACCGTGAACGTAGCAGAGACAACGTTGGCAGTATAGCCGAGCCATTGTGGGAGACGAAAGGCTCGTGTTGATGGGAGCACTTCTTCACAACCGATAGATGTCAAAATACCCCAATCAGTCTCTGCCGCCCATACAGGCGTGTTTAACTTGGTATTGACTTTGGCAAGATGGGAGCTAAATAGTAAACCATTGTCTCTGCCCAGGCTAAGGGTTAGCATTGACGAGACTTGGAAACAAGCTACACTGCCGACTGGTAGAAGTAGCATGGCTACAATGGTGAATATAAGCGGCACTATAGTTGTTGGCGTTGCTTATCTCCAGATCTCGTAGAGTGGGAAGTTAGAAGGTGCGACAAAGAAGGCATCGAAGTCGGTGACACAGTAGAGTGAGGCTAGAGCGAAAGCAAGTGAAGTGACAAAGGAGACGGCTAGGGATGTTATCAAGGTGTACGGCACAACTCTTGATGCGCTCTTGACTTCTTCGACCAGGTGGACAGCTCCGTCTATAGGGCAAAATGCGATAGCGGGAGCTGATAACACGATCAGGAATTGGACTCCGCAGACCAGCCAGATACTTCTGTGTAGGACGTCCAGATAATGTCCAAGGATTGTTTTTAGGGCTGCATAGCTAAAATCGTCGCCGTGAAGACCAAGAAAGCCGCCAGGCTAAGAAGGACTAATAGGCAATCACATGTCAGCTCATCTCTCCCTCGGTCGAGTTCAGTGATAAAAGGCGGCAGTGCGCGGTCTTGTGGATGCCAGTTGCGCAAGAACTCACAGCCCAGTGAATAAAATTGTATTATTTTCTTCGCAAATTCGTTAAAAACAAAGCTGAAGACGACGACAGCTTGGTAAATCAAAAAGGTTTGCCAGTTCTGGGGCACAAGGCTGGGGTTTGCGTGGATGATCAGTGCAAATACGCACGCCGGGCAGCCCCGGAGCTCGCCGCAGACATTGTCAACCAAGCGAACCAGTTCAAGAAGCCACAGCAGTAGCTCTGCTAAAATATCCGTGACCTTAGAGTATAAGCTGGAAGCCCGGAGTTCCGGACCGCTTTGGCTCTGGATCCCCCTTCCCCGCCACCCTGTCGGCACCTTCGAAAGCCATGCAGGCCTAGTGCGGTGAGGGGGAAGTTAAATTCCTCCGGAGATGTAATTCTCTTCTTGATAGTAAGCTCGCGGCAGGAGCTTGGTCCCCGGAACAACGCCAAGCTGTGCAGACTAATCCTGGTTATTCTCATTAAAAATATTAACCGTTTAAATAAGGCGTATTATTCTTTTTCCATGCCTAACGCAGTGCCCTTGCAGCCAAATTGGCACGCGCCATGACCATCTCACCGGGTGACATAGAGCCGACCAAGCCGGTCTCTACCTCTGGCGTCGACTCACCGATTGGCGTTGAGCTGAGGAATTGGGGCAAAAGGAATTTGGCGCGACTTTGGCCATCTTTGATATTATGGGTGGGGCTCCTATTACAATATTGCCCACTTGATGGTAACGAGACGTCCGGCGAGAAGGGACTGATGTGAATACGATGATTCTCGCCACCCCCCACCCCTTTGGCGTACGGGTAGAGCCAAGAAGGTGAAGCAGGGGAAAGCATCTCTTTAGTGACGATACAGAGGCTACATTGCTATTCCACTTCTAACCGTACTAATAGATCTCGACCCCTTCTTTGAAACCCTTTTTTTTTTTTTTTTTTTCATAGTTGCAAGGTAGCAGACTCCCTGCGACCCCGAAAACCATCTCCGACAATTCCCTCTCTTAGCTCAAGTCTCAAAAGACAATTTCGGTTAATTCCCAATAATTCCCGACTTTTACCTAGTGTCTTCGGCTTCTCTTGGTTTTCGCTCTCTCTCCATTTCCAGGATGCTGCTGAAGCGCAAGCCATCAGGAGGCGCTAAGGGCGCTGCAAAGCGTCCCCGGGGACGTAACGAGGGTCCTGCTTCCTCTACTTCGTCTATCGGTTTTTCTACTGTCGATCCTGCCAGCGGCCCCAGTTCGTCTTCTCTGCTCGTTCCCGGCGAATCTGCCACTCCCCTGGCGTGATCACGTCCACCCGCGTTCTTCCGTAATTGCCAGACTTACATAGGTCAAACTCGACAATTGCCAGACAAGATTCAATGAGTTTATTTAACTACATAGCGCACCGAAGTCACGAAATACCAACTCTGCCTATTCACTATCCCACCGGTCTCCCGTTGATTATTTCTGTGGCGGATCGAATCTCAACCCTGCCATTACGCCGCTCCCCCAAGCAAGCGACAAGCGATCCTGAATATAGCCACTTCTTGGCTTCCAAGGTGCGACGTCCCCTGTTTTTGGCAGCCTTCTCTCTTTGGCGGCTTGTTGAATATAATTTGAGCTGAGATTCAAGAACGGCACTTCTTTAACCGACTCCGTCTTTTCGAGAGTCGGAACAACGCTCTGCGCACCCCGCTTCCGCATTTCCTTGAGCACTTGCATGAACAGCATAGTCGTAGTATCAGCTCCCAAGGTCCAAGAGGCATTTGTGTATCCAAATACGAAGAACAGATTTGGCACGTCCTGAAGTGCAGCGCCCTTCCAGACAAATTTGTCTGAGTAGTTAACCTGTTTCCCGTCAACGACGATCCTTATTTTGCCGAATAACAGCATTTTGAGGCCCGTTGCAGTGACGATAATGTCCGTGTCCAACCTGGCACCAGATTTGAGGATGATGCCGGTCTTGTCAATAGTATCGATGTGATCGGTGACAATATCGGACTTCCCCGTCTTTAGGGCGGCGAAAAAGTCGCCTTGAGGAGTGATGCACATGCGTTGATCCCATGGATTGTACGTCGGTACGAAGTGCGGGTCGAACGGTACGTTTTGGGGAAGCTGAGATTCGGTGCTTTTACGAAGGAGCTTCTTCGTGGCGTCAGGAAAGCACCTTGAAAATTTGAAAACTATGAGGAATCTGAGGATGTACTTCCACCGCAGGGCGTGGTACACCCAGCGAGTCGGGCAGATTCTTCTGATCATGTTGTCAACGGGGTCGTGCTCTGGTGTCGTGAACAGGTAACTTGGACTTCGCTGAAGCATCGTGACGAAGGCGGCACGGTCGACCAGAGATGGCAACAGCGTTACAGCGGTTGCACCACTGCCAATAATCACCATCCTTTTATTGTCGTAATCGAGGTCTTGGGGCCAGAATTGTGGATGAACAACCGTTCCTTCAAAATTCTCAATGCCGGGGATTGTCGAACGCTGTCCTTCCTCGTAATCGAAGAGTCCAGTGGCCACGAAAACGAACCTTGAGAAGTAAGTCTTCTTCTCCGTTCCAGGAACTATGACTTCAACAGTCCAGCACTGTTTTTCGGATCTCCATTCGATACTCGTAACGTAGTGGTGGTATTGGATGTGCTTGTCTATACCGTGCTTGGCGGCAACGGTCTTCATGTATTTCAGAATGGATGGCCCATCCGCAATCGGTCTCTCCTCTGTCCATGGGTCCCAAGAAAAGCCGAATGTGTGCAGGTCTGAGTCTGAGCGGATTCCGGGATATTGGAAGAGCGACCATGTGCCACCCAGTTCTTCTCGGGCCTCGAGAATCGTGTAGGACCACTGAGGGAACGACTCCTGGATCCTATAAGCCGCATTGATCCCACCAATTCCCGCGCCAATGATCAAGACGTCGACGCTGGGCTCTTGAGTCTGAGTTTTTGAAGGCATATTGCTTAACAGAAAAAGTAAAGGACGTGAAAGGATGAATGTCTTAGTTACGGCATGGGATGAGAAGAACAAGCTCAGTGGAGCAGTACTGGTAAAAGACGAGGGAGACTTTGCCTTTAAAAAGTGCAGTGAAGCAGTCGTCTCTTTTCCGGAAAGAGGGCGCACTCGGTAGTTTCGTTCA